TTGAATTATGGATTAAGCATCCCTAATCTGGAATCCAAATGCTCCAAAATTGGTTTTTAGATTAGGGATGCTCAACTGGTAAAGCCTATGTAAATACATTTTTTTTTTTTTTTTTAAATCTGGAATGCTTCTGGTACCAAGCATTTTGGATAAGGAATATTCAACCTGTTGTTACTTGTTTTGTGTGGGGAATGGGAGAAGAGTAAAATCCAAACAAATTTACTCAACAATTTAATAAGACTGACAAATATAAATGGCATGTTTTTAATACAATAAATATTTAATGAGTTGTTCTTGGCACTGTGCTAGAATAAAGAAGTCAATAAGGCAGTCCTTGAGCTCAAGGAACTCACAGTCCACTGGAGAGGAAGGACAATAGAAACTAGTTTCATTAACAGATTATTTCTTTCGCCTTTTAATTTCAATTTTGTCTCTGTTAAATTTCATAAACAATTAGCAGAAACTCTCTTTAGGTTAATTCTAGAGTCCTATTTTGCATATTTTGCAATCATTAATTCCATGAAGTAAAAGAATTATTCAGTTTTAGATTAAAAAAAAAAAACAAGTAAAACATTCCAGTTAATTAATAAGAAATAACACACATGAGGGATTCAGTTTCTAGATTCACAAAATTCAAAAGCTTTCCTAAGCTAAAATAGTTTTCAATTTTTGGTCTTCTCTCTCCCTTCTCTCCACCTCCCTCATCTCCCTTTTTGTTGCAATATAATTTCTCACTAAACAGATCTGAACTGTTCAAATTCAAATGCCCAACACAGTGAGCATTTTTCCACCAGGGGAAGTTTTACCAAGCCTGATTTGGTATTATGAAACCTAATCCCTTGCCCTCACATACCATGCATAAAATCTGTATTGTCAGTCACTCATTATTCTCACTAAGGCAGCTTTGCCAGTACTCTTAAGCATGTTAAAAGGAAAGGATTCCATTAATCTCTTCATCAAGGTACATTCTAGCAGTTTTCCAGGGCTGCAAACATAATTTTGGGATCTATTAAAGTTTCTATTTATCACTTCAGTCTCTTTTCCCAGATGTATGCTCTCCTTCCAGCCCTTCTATCATCTCATGGCATGGTCAGTCCACAGATAGTGCACATTGAAAATACAAGCCCTTATTACCTAATAAAAAGAAAACAGGATAAATGAGAAAAAAAAAAAAAAAAAGCTTTTCTAAAACTGATCTACCCAAGAGTGTCCCAATATCATGCCCGTTCTTTTTTGCCACCTACCCTCTCCTCCTTGACCAAAAAAGAAATACCTTTCATCTATAAATAATAATGCTACAGTGCATTGTCCAGGATGTAAACAAAAATTCTAGGCAACAAGTAAGGGGTCACTTTAAAATATTGGTGTAAATGTTAGTAAAGTAATGACTTTAATGACTGGCCACCAAATCATTTTGTAAGCAATGTGGTTTCTAAATCTTTGATCTTAATAAAATATAGGGATTAGTTACTAGAACTTCCAATTAATAGAGCAACAAAAATCATTTTCTGATGATAGATTACTATAATTTTTGGAACATAATTCTGAAGGTAGTCAAAGAATTGACTAAAACTGCTATAACAGAATTCTTCCTATTTAGGGTAACTAGTACTTATAAAGATGAAAAATAGGAACCAAACTGATATAAAAACTTTTTTAGGAGCTGGGGTTGTGGCTCAATGGTAGAGTGCTTACCTAGCATATGTGAGGCACTGGGTTCAATTCTCAGCACAGCATATAAATAAATTAACAAAATAAAGGTCCATCAACGTCTTAAAAAATAATAAATTTTTAAAAATCTTGCTTTATGCCAATAAGCATAATTTATCTATAAAATAATTTTAATGAGAGCTCCAATCACCTGATTGAGATAGGTATTTCAAATAAAATGTTGCCTTTTATGTTACTAATTATATATCAAATTTGAGATAGAACTATTCTGATTGACTTTGTACCCAAGACTACAATAATTCCATTTAAAAGCAATGTCTGAATGCTAAGTATTATAGAAAAAAATTTTTGTACATATTTTATTGCCAAAAATGATGACAGATAATCAAATAAAGACTTAATACAAACAAATTCCATTATTATAAAATACAGGAAAGGAAGTGAAATGAAGGACAAATTTAAAGAAATCAGGATTATGTAAAAATGTATGTGTGATTATATTTTACAATGGGTGACAGTATGTTCTTAAGTCAGTAAGGTATTTGGAGTCCATTAATATACTCAATACACTGATGTAAGAGTTTCAACTTCAAACATTACATATATATAATAGCATATGTATAATATATATTAAATATTATATTCTTTGCCAACTCATCAAAATTTTTCTAGAAATCATTATAAATGTGTGTGATATGCAGATTTTAAAAACTATTAAGCTATGACGCACATAAGCAAAAAAGATGGAAAAGCAAGGTGTTGAAGCACAAATTTTAGAAATTTACAGAGGCAACAAAAGGAAAAAATAGACTAGGGGAATCACACATCAAACTAAAAAGGTTCTGCACAGCAAGGAAACAAATAACAAAAATAAAAGAATATATTTGAAAACTATATATCTGATAATAAATACCCAAAATATACATAAAACTCAAACAACTTAAGAGAAAATAAAGATTACCTGACTAAAAAAGTGGCCAAAGGAACTGAATAGAAATTTCTCCAAATGAATGTACAACTGGCCAACAGGTATACTAAAATGTATTCAACATCAGTAGTAGGGAAATTCAAATCAAAACAATATATATCATTTCATACCTCTTGGGATGGCTATTATCACAAAAACAAAAGATAATAAGTATTGGCAAAGATATGGAGAAGAGGAACACTTGTACGCTGTTGGCGGGAATATAAATTGGTAAAGATGCTATGGAAGAGAATATAGAGGTTCAAAAAATTACAAACACAACTACCATGTCATCAGTAATTCCACTTCTGGGTATATGTCCAAAGGAATTAAAAACAGGATCTTAAAGAGATATCTGTACCTCCAAAGCACTATTCACCATAACCAAGACATAGAAGCAACCTAAATGTGCACCAACCAATGAATGGTGTTTGATTCAGATATTAGGTGTCCCCCAAAAGCTCATGTGTGAGAATATGCAAGAAGGTTTAGAGGAGAAATCATTGGGTTATGAAAGCCTTAACACAATCAGTGAATTAATCCCCTGACAGGATTAACTAAGTGAATGGAAGTGAACGTGGGTAGGGTGTGGCTAGAGGGGGTGGGTCACTGGGGATGTGCCTTGGGGGTATATATTTTTGTATCTGGTGAATGGAATCTCTCTCATGTGAGCTACTTTCCTCTACCACATTCTTCCACCATGATGTTCTGCCTCTCTTTTGCCCCCAAAGAATGAAGATGGCTGTCTATGGATTGAGACCTCTGAAACTGTGAGCCCCCAAATAAATTTTTCCTCCTCTAAAATTTTCTTGTCAGGTCTTTCAGTCACAGCAGCAAAAAAAAAAAAAAAACAATACTACTAAAACAAATGGATAAAGAAAAACTGGTATATACACAATAGGATATTAAAAAACAAAAAAAAGGAAAAAAGAAATCCTGCCATCTGGGACAACATGGATGAACCTGGAGTATGATATGTTAAATGAATACACCAGATACAGAATGACCTGCACTATAAGATACCACTAACATGAGGAATCTAAAATAGTCAAACTCATAGAAACAGTAGTATTATGGTTACTAGGGGCTGGAGGGAGGTGGAGATGGAGAATAGTCCAAGGGTATGAAGTTTCAGTTAGAACCTTTACAAACTTTCTAGGTAAGTTCTGGAGAGCTGTATAGCATAATATAGCATTTAAAGTTAATACTGTATTGTATACTTCAAATTTTGCCAAAAAGATAGTTTCGTTGTTGTTGTTTTGTTTGTTTTTGGTAGTGGGGATTGAACCCAGGGGTACTTAACCACTGAGCCACATCCACAGCCCTTTTTACTTTTTATCTTGAGACACAGTCTTACTAAGTTAAGTCTAAACTTAGGGCCTTTCTAAATTTCGGAGGTTGGCTTTGAAATTGCAATCCTCCTACCTCAGCCTCAAGTCAATAGGATTACAGGCAGGCGCCACCATGCCCAGCTAAGATGGTAGATTTTATGTTGTGTTCTTATCACAATAAATTTTTAAAAAATGATTAAAAGAATAAAGGGTGCAGAAAGAAACTTTGGTTGTGATGGATATGTTTATGGTTTAAACCATGGTGATGGTTTCACAGGTATATACTTATCTCCAAACTCATCAAGTTATATATACTACATATGAATACCTTTCTGTATGTCAATCATATCTCAAGAAAGTATTCAAAATATTTAAAGACTGCAAAATTCGATGCTCATTCTCCAAGGTACCTCTCAAATTTTCAAATCTAAACTTTTGACTCTATCTGCAGGCAAATACTATTTGAACATATAATCTATTTAAAGATTAATTGAATTGTGTCAATAGCTTTTATTGATATTCTAAAATTCATAAACTTTAAAAAATATAATTTAACTAACTACATATTAAGTCGAGAAGTACCCTGAAACTTATTATCTAAATGATATAAAAAGCAGTATACAGAGCACTAAAGAAAGATGGAGGTAAATATCAGGCAATAAACGGCAATAAAATAAAATAAAAATGTGAAAAATTGAAAACATTTATAGTATTTTATAGGACTATATAGCACAAAAAGCCTCATGATACTTTTAAAAAAATCAAAGATTTTCATTTGCTAAATTGCAATTGTTTCTCATTCATTGATACTTAATTAAAATCAAGGCATCTTAAAACATACTCACTGAAAAAAAAAAAAAAAAACTATACTCACTGCCTTACACCAAATTACTTTAATGTATATTAGAAATGAACTTATTTTGGAACCATTTAGACTGATTTATCAAAAAAGAAGTTGACTATATATAAATCTATATAAATCTTGATTACTTAGAAGGCTATCTACTTAAAAATGTTTCTGCTGTACTCACCATGAGAATGAAAGTGTCCATGTCCATGAGCATGATCATGGCTATGTGCAGCACCATGCTTCACTTCATGACTATGGCAATGTTCTCCATGGCCATGTACTGGATCTAGAGCACCATTAAAGAGGGAATGACTATGTCCGTGCCCTAGAAAACAAAAAGTATTAGAACAGAAGGTATATAAAAATATATTATTATGATAACATGGTACTAGTGAAAAGAATCTAAATTCTAATTCAATGCACTAAACATATATTTGTGAAAGTGTTAAGATTCATTAAAACAATCCCAACTGAGTTCCTGCTAAGATGCGAGCAAAAAAAGTAGTAACTGGAAATATCACAGAAATATTTGTAGATAATGTTGTTTATTCAATTCAAGAAATATGTATTTGAAACATAGTATGTGATAGGCATTGGGGAAAATGCACTAAAAAGCACAGATAAAAGATCATTATGCACACTAATAAAGATTAAAGAAGATGCAAGCATATTAACTGAAGAAAAAGCTGGGAACTGATGTCTTTGGAAAGAGGATCAGTAAAGTTAAAACAGGTATGAGAAGTCTGACACAAAAGAATGCAGAATTCTCTCTCTACGGCATAACTAAAAATCATCAAGAAACTTACTAGCTATTCAAAAGGACAGAAAAAAATATTCACTAATTATCACTTATATTTGCAAAAATTCTAAATAGCAGAAAACCAAATCCAGCACTGTGTTATATGAAAAGATGATGACCATGAGAGATCATGTTCTAGAATGGTGAAGAAGGACCTTGGTAAACTGCCTATTCTCTAAAACAACAAAAATGTAGGGAAAACAACTACAAAATAACCATTTCAGAACTCTGGTAATTAATCAAAACCATAGCATAAACTGAAAACCATGATCTAAGAGAAACATCTAAACCTTGTTGAGACAACATTTGATGTAACTTGGAATGGTTCACATTCCATCACTCTCGCTAATCCATGAATAAAGTAGCCAAAAGCCAGTAGGATTATAGGTAATGAAGAGATCAGATGTCTTCTGTTGCTTTGTTAAAGCACCAAAGCACAGTTAAAATTTTTTCTAAACTTGCAATTCACTGGAACAATATCTACTTTCAATGATATGGATCTTAGACTCTAATAAGAGACTTCAGCTCAGCTGGAGGATGAGGGTTGGGGGACAGGGCATTATCAAAACAATGGCAAATTCCTAGCAGTATCTCAGCTGCTGAACATTATGATGTTAGCTGAGGCAAACAAGGGCCTGAGAATTATGAGGAAATCTCAGAGAAACAGACAACCATAAGGAACTTTGAAAAGCACCAACACATTCCTAGGGAATCTAAAAGTCTGCATGCATGCTCTGTACATCTCCAAGGAAGACATGAGAAAAGAGAAATCACCTCTGATCTTTCACTGACCTTGGGAAACCCTGTGCAAGGAAAAAGTATAAAATAAGGCTGCCTTTTAAACTGTCTGAAATACAAAGGTGTGTTTTCTCACAAAGATGCATTTGGCAAAAATGGAAAATTTACAAGCAAGCAATTTATGGAAAACTCACTAATTGTTGGCTGACTACTAAATTATACTGGCTCAGGTTACCTAGAAAACCATGTTAAAAATAAAAACAAGATCTAAAAATTTCAAGAATACTAGCACAGAACTCAATGACCACATACTGCAGGAAACATACTATTGAATTAGTCAAGAAAAGACTCCCAAGAAGAAATAGAGCAACAACAAAAACAACAAATTTTGGAAGGCTAATGTTGCCCTCTGTCGATAGCAGAGTTGTTACAATATATTATCAAAAATGTCCAATTTTCATCAAAAACTATGAGGCATGCAAAGATACAGGAAATTATGCCATACACAAATAAAAAAGCAGTAACTAGTATATTCTAAAGAGATCCAAATTTTGAACTTAGTAGTCAGACTTTAAATCAGCTATTATAAGCCTGTTCAGAGAACTAAAAGAAACCTGAAGAATGTATCATGATGAGTCACTGAAGAGAGATTATCAATAAAGATACAGAAATTACAGAAGAGAGAGAGAGAGAGAGAGAGAGAGAGAGAGAGAGAGAGAGAGAGAAATTCTGAAGTTAAAAGCATAATAACCAAAGTACAACATTCACCAGAGGGACTCAACAAGAGCGTTTAGCTGCAATAATAGGAAACTTGAAGGTGAGTCAATAGAGATTCTCCACTCTGAGAAATCAGCAGAAAAAATGAAGAAAAATGAACAGAGCCTCAGAGAAGGGACTAGAAATGGAACCTCTGTGTGAACCAGCGATCCCATTACTTTTTATTTATCCAAAAGAACTGAAATCAGCAAACTGTAGCAATCCAAGCTTCTCAATATTTATAGCAGCATAATTCACAATAGCCAAACTATGGAATCAATTCAAATGGCCATCAATAGATGAATGGATTATGAGATTGTGGTATAACACAAAATGGAGTTTTACTCAGACATAAAGAAAAATGAAATTATGGCATTTATTGGTAAATGGATGGAAATGAAGACCATCATGCTAAGTGAAATAAGCCAGACTCAGAAAATCAAGGACAGGATATTTTCTCTCATATATGGACTCTAGAGCAAAATAAAGGAAAGGAGGAGGGAAGACTGAAGATCATAAAGATATAGGGAAGATCAGTAGAATAGAAGAATGAGACTGAGAAAGAGAGGAGAGATGGGAAAGCAGAGAAATTCAGAATGAATTTTTTAAAAATCATGATATGTGTATATATACATATACCACAGAGAATTTCACGGTTATGTATAAGTAGGAAAAAAACAATCAAAAATAAATAAATAGATGAGTGAAATGAAGGTCAACAGAACAGAGGAAGCAGAATGAGAGGAGGATAGGAAAAAGGGGGAAACATGAACTGAAATCAAATTCCATGCATGTTATGAATCTTTTGAGATGAACCCAACTACAACGTATAACTACAATGTTCTAATTTAAAGAAAAGAAAATTAAGGACCAATTAATAAATGCTGATTAGGAAAACTACTTATTCATACTAAGGGGAAAAAAGAAAAAGTTAAGTCCTAACTCACACGTTGTAAAAAAAAATAAATTACATATAAAGGAGTAAAATGAGTAGAAAACCCCATCAAACCAAAATGAAAAGCATTAAAATATAAAGGATTATGTTTATGTCCCTAGAATAGAAATATTCCTTAAGCACGGCAGAAAACAGACAAGAAAAATGCAAGACAAAAACTAGATTATATCCAAATAAAGTCCTGTTAAAGTTTAAAGACAAGCCATAGACTAGAAGAAGATATTTGTAACACAAAAAACAAAGGATTAGAGTGATAAAAATATTTATAAATGAAAAGAAAAAAAAAGAAAAATAGGCAAAAATATATGAATAGGTAATTCTAAAAGAAAAGTCTGAATGACCTAAAATTACACTGGAAAGAAGTATAACTTCACTACTAATCAGAAAAACACTAAGCAAAATCAGAAACTATTTAGTAAAATACTAACAAAACTGTATAAAAACCCCCAATATTAAGTGTTAATGTGGGTGGGAGAAATTAGTACTTGCTTTTATTCCTTAAAGTATATGTGACTAACAGTCATTTTGAAAGGGAATTTGCAAATATCTGAAACTATGAATGTATAGATCCTAAGTTCCCGAAATTCTTATATCTAGCACAGTGAATTCAAAGAACTTTCTATAATGATGGAAATGTTCTACATCTGCACTGTCCAATATGGTAGCTTCATGTGGCAATAGAGTATTTGAGATGTTATGAATGTTACTGAGGAACTAAATTTTTAATTTTAATTAACTAAAATTCAAATTTAAAGAGCTACATGTGAAGTACAATACAGGGCAATACTACTTTAGAAACACTTGTATATATTCACAAGGATAGCCTGATATGCATAGATTGGAGAAAAAAATTGAAACAACTTGAGGTCATACACAGAATATCTGGTTAAATAAACCATAGTGACCTACACCATGGAGTTTTATATGGCTGTTAATTGAAGGATTTTAACGGAAGTATTGCAAAAACATGATACAGTAAATCAATGTGTGTGTATGTCTCTCTCTCTCTGTTGTGCGTGTGCGCACGAGCCAACACACACTAGATTTGTTGATTTCTGGTATCTGTTTTATATGAATGACATTACACAAAAGAACTAAAGAAGTCTAAAGGGATCCACACAAAACATAACATTCATAGCTCTAAGAAAGCACTTGGAGGGGCATGGAGAAGAAGGAAGGATATTTCAGGAAGACATTAATAAAAATCTTTGGACATATTACTTTTGTTATTAAAAACCAATATATGTAGTTTAATTTTTTAAATTATCAATTTTCTCAAGTAAATAATTATGATAGAAATTGGGAGAAAATGAAGAAACAAAGGGTTCTAACCATCATACCAGAGCCATGAGAATGTCCATGACCTCCATGCTTGAAAACAAATATTCCTATTAGGTTTACCACAAACCCAAGAATTGAAACAAGTAGCAGTCTCTCATGGTGTACATCTGGAGGAGCTAATGCTCTCTAGAAAACACACAAACAAACAAACAGCATTGATATAATTTCTCACCCATCAACTGGTAAAAATATAAAGTAATATTAACATTTTTTAGTCATTTTCATAATTAAAAGCATTCAAAAAACATATTTCAGAAAAAGCAACCATTGCTATTTTTAAATAAATATTAAGTGCAAATATTTGGCCCCAAATATGTTCCTCTTTGGTATTATAAAATAATACCCTCCATATGTTTGCTAATTATTACACTTTATTTAAAAAATAATAAATATTAAAGATTCACTAGTAAAACTCAGAGGTTCTATTTTCTTTAAAAACACTTCCCAGCTGACTTCACTACCCAGGTTGCACCTTTACTTTTCACAGTGTCACTATTTTATTCATACCTTGTAAGCACAATTGTTTCATTGTTATTCATTTCAAGAAGTTTCACATATATTTAATATTTTTCAACTATTTTGCAAGCTCCTCCAGCTTACAAATATTTTATCTAATTCAAGACTGTGATCAATAAGTTAGAAACAGCTCTATTATATGCTATAAACATTTTTATACAGAAATATAATTTACTGATTCTAGTCATTATATAGTATACCTCAACTCCTTCTGAGAAAATAAAAAAAGCAGTGAAGATCAAAAATAGGCCATTGACAAAGCCAGCCAGAACTTCCGCTCTAACATACCTAAAAAGAAGCAAATAACTACTTTATTAAGTTATTTTTTAAAAAATTAAATCACAAATTACATTTCAGAGATTCCAAACCATATTACATGGTTTTAATGCCAGCAAAGTCCTAGTATTTATAGTATATTACATTTTACATAAATTGTAGAAATGAGAAAATTAATAATAATGAATTATGTTTAACAGCAGAATGCCACAAAACTCACAGATTTGTACAAGCCATTCCAAAGACCTTCTTTAGAGTAAGTAGGTTTAGAAAGACCTTTCACAGAAATGTAAATCTCAAGTTGCCAGTGGCAAAAGAACAGGATCAGGCAAGTGGTCAAAGAAGGAAGAATCCAAAGAAAAATAGTAATAGAAAAGGTCTTGGAAAAGGAAGTTTTAGTACTCATTTATTCCTTTCTGAAGAACTCCTTATACCTTCTTCTCTGTATCTTTCAGCTTTCAAATCTTTGGAAAGAGGAGCTTTGATCTCAAGTAAAATAAAATTATCCTTGAATTATCCCAGAGACAACTTGAGATTTCTATTTCTATTACTCTTTTTCTAAGATTAATAAATTTAGCATAAACTTACAATTACCTATTTTTAGAATCAATTCTAGCTTCATATAATTCTAATTAAACTGTTTTAAAAATACCTGTCTTTTTCTCCATGGACTTCTGAAGCTTTCTGCTTCCTACCTGTGTGAAGCATTGGGGAAAGATTTTATTTTTCCAGTTTTCTGCCTTCGTTAAAGTCACAGAAACAACTTTAACTTAGCATATTTAATGTTCAAACTTTATTAAAAGTATGCTGATTCTAGTTAATTATTTTGGTTCTTTAACAGAATAACAGGAGCATTAAAACTACTGCTTTTCCTAGCTTTTTAATGTCAATTTCTAAATAATACAATTTTTACTGTAAAAGTATTTTTAAAGAAGAAGAAACTCTTAAAATACATGCTATTCCGTTAGGGTGGAATTTGTCCTATCAACCATATTCCAACATAGCATGTATCTCTATACTCAGATATAATGCATATTTCTATCTCCTAACACATACAATTAAATTAATATACTATTTGATAAAGTATATTTTCCCCCCCTGGAGAAATGCTCATTAAATTCAAATGATTTGAAGTCAGCTTTCCATTATCTACACTTAGGTAGAAGTAATGGAAGGTTGTAGGATGACTGTCCAAAAAATTTAAAGCATTTTTTTTAATCTACCCTTCTAGTTCCATAGCTAATGCTTAACTGAATGCCTTTTGTCCTTGAGTGCCACTAGATTTCAAGATCCAAGGCAAAAATGGTGTTCAGGCATTGTTCAGAATTGTTCCTAATTCCCAACTTAAAAGTTTTGCTACAAAAATGCTGATAAATTGTTGGACTCAAGTTACATAATTAGTTTTACTATATTTGCTATACGTATAGGTTTAAACTAGGCACACTTGCCTTTACATATGCCTATGTTCACTTGAACTGAGTTCTTGGAATTAGAACATATAAGCCATGAAAGTGCTACTGCCTAATTAAGAATGCCTGGTGTTTGAATGCTCTGAGTCGGGCAGGGAGGGAAGGATATGAGTATATGAATGTAAGCATGTATATATGCATCTATTTACCCACTGTATATTACTTTCATGCTTTCTTTACTATTTTAAAAAGAAGAGTGTGACAAGACACAAGAATGACTTTCCATAAAGATACACTGAAAAGTTTTGGCTTGCTCTTAGATTCACCCACTGTTTTTTCTACTACAGTCAATCTGCTATTATGACCACCTTGAACTGGGGAATATAAGGAGATTTACCCTTAGGCTTTGCCATCTTGGGTTTAGCCTATTCAGTGTCATTTTTATGTACAGACACCAGTAGTTTACTACTACAGCAATTATTCATAGATTCTATAGCAATTATTCAGTTTCAAATATCACATCAGCTTTTATTCCTTAATCTACAAAAAGAACAAACAAAGAAATAAACAAATGAAAAAATACAATGGAGAAAACAAAATGAGGAATTAAAATGAGGGAAGACTATTCTCTTTTTGAATGAGCTAAAGTTAAAATCATTATGGTACTATAGGGATTCAAATCTCTTCCTAAAATTTATTCTATAGCATGAAACAATGTATTCTAAATGGGAAACAAAAGATAACCTAAGCATTAAGAACTGAAGAGAATTTTTTAATAGTAACCTATTGTTTATCCAGAAAGATTGCTAAATAAGATATTCTTGTTAGATTCCTGATATACAATACATATAAATTATTAATTTTCCAACAAGAATTATACCTTTAGATTTAATCTTCCTTTAAAGTATACTTATGAATCTCTTAGTAGCTATAGTTCAAGATTATTTGATTATTGACAACACAGTGCCACAGAAATGTTCTTGTCTGAACTTTCAAGCCTGAATTTATGGTATATAGAATCTCTTGCTCTATAATATAAAATAGTATAATTAGTATTTCTGCCTCACTTTTAATTTTACAAATAACCATATTCCTCTTGTTATAATTAAAATCATCAAATTCTACCACAGAATTTTAACTCTCTCTTTAAGCACTTGTCACAATATAGGCTATTTACAGTATTTTTACAAAACTCGTTTCCTATTGAACCATAAGTTTCTTCAGGGCAGGAGCCATGTTTTATTCATTTTTACTTCAGTGGAACTAGCAAAGTATTCAACTTATAATCGACCCTCAATAAATATCCGAAGAAAACAGAAGCATGTGAAACAATTAATGTGTTGCTTGCTATGAACTAAAACAAGCTGAGGGAAAACGGAAACAGTGAAGGAACAAGAGTAGAAGAACAAGTGTTTAAGAGAATGCATATAAGAGGTTGGAGAGAGATATATGAGAAACTGCATGGGAAAGAGAGACCTCAGGGAGGAAGTGCTGAAAGAAAGAAAGACTGGGAATATAAGAGAAAAAATAAACTGAGCAGAAGTGTTAAGAAGGGAAGAAGACAGAAACAGCCTGAGAGTTACAATGGTAAAAAGGAGAGGAAATGACAGGAGAAAAGGAAAAAGAGAGAAAATGTATGAAAGAGGAAAGGAAAAGAGAAAGATCACATGCAGGCCCAAGAAGAGACAGGGCTGTAGGGAGGGAGGAAGTGGGGTTGGGGAGGAGGGAGGAAAGGGAGAGGGCAGAAGGGAGGAGAAAGGAAGGTGGGGAGAGGAAGAGGGGATAAGGAGAGGGCGGAAGGGGGAGAGAGAGAATGAAAGGAAGGTAGACAAAGGCAAAGGCAGAAGAGAAAAAATTTCAGTGTATAAAAATGGTCATGCTTCTTTTCTTCTTTTTCCTATTCAAGGAAATCCTTCTATCTAGAACAATCTCACCTCAAAGTTTTTGGTAAAACCAAGTGCCTACTGACCAGCAAAAGAATTTAGCTGCAAATAAAATTATATATTGTAGGTTCCGATTACATATTATTTGAAAACAGGCAAGTTAAGAAAATGAGTACCTTTCGGGAAGTGAATGGGAAGGAACTAAAAGAGGTGTGGGAGGGAAATGTCAAGGGTTCAAGTTACAAAACCATGTTCAATTTGTAAAAACTCATCAACCTTAAGATTTGTGTGTTTTGCGTATGTGTTTACCTTATACTTCAAGAAAAAGATTTCTTAAGAATCTTACCCATAGGAGAAAGCATCATTATCTCTCCATTTTGAAATAACAGAAGCTGCCAATCCAGCCAAAATGGCAGTGCTATCGAAAAACATGTGAAAAGAGTCGGAGATCAAACCTAAGCTGGAAAACAAACATATTGGCATATTACAATAAAAATCAAATAGTAGGCATCCTTCTCTAAAAGTCTAAGGTTCAGCATCTGTTCATCAAGAACTACCTTCTAAAGAGACAACATTTAAATATGATATATAGAAAGACATCACAGATGACTTTTAAATACATAAAATAGAAACCTTCCTACTCTTTGCCCTCCAGATGCTGCTGGGAAGAGTTGAAACAAAAGCCATCTGCCCACCTGTCACTAGCAGAGGTCAGGTGTCACTAAGACGGCAGGGAGGGAAAAGAGTCATTTGCTACTGGAAGAGAAGCTGAAATCTGCTTGGGTTCAGAATGTTACACTAATGCTAAGCAAAAATCTGCTATTATTGGGAGTCTTGCACTGCTCTCCTGATATGCCAGGCTAAGGGGTGGGAGGGAAGAACAGGTTGGGGAAAAGGGGAGATGCAAGAATATTAAGAAACCCATCCTGAGACGCTTGCTCTCTCTCACCATGTAATGCCCTCTGCCATGTTATGATGCAGCAAGAAGATCCTTTCACCAGATGCTGGCACCTTGATATTGGACTTCTCAACCTTCAGAACCATGATCTAAATAAACCTCTATTTTGGGCTGGGGCTGCAGCTCAATGCTAAAGCACCTGCCTTGCATGTGTGAGGCACTGGGTTCGATCCTCAGCACCACATAAAAATAAAGATAGTGTATGTTTACCTATAACTAAAAACAAGATATTTAAAAATAAATAAATAAATAAACCTCTATTCTTTGTTTTAAAAAAAACAAAACTATCCACCCTGACGCTCAGGTATACAAGGACTGCCACAGTCTAAGACTACAAAGGGAGAACCTAGTATCATACCCTCCAGCCTTGAATAAAGTACAAGGGAACAGCAATCTACCACTGACAGCACCAAGATTCCCTCATGGTGCAGGAATGCAAAACTACTGAAGGTAAAGAGTGGAGCAAGAATCCTGAAAAAACCCTCTAGTACTCAAAATCCCTCACAAAGCGCAAGATAATAAAAACCACTGGAAAAGTTTAAAGTCTGTGGCTTGTTGAAGCTAACGTCAACAACAAAGCCCCAAACCCAATTTAAATCCAGTTCAGCCATTGACCAGTCAGGTTTCAAAACCACTATCCACATTAATGGTCAAGACAGGAAATTAGGTGTCCATTTCTGGGCATAGTCAATATTAATCTCAGTCTCAACTATTTCTTTAAACACAATATCCACCACTCAACAAATATTTACAAGACATATTGACAAGATCAAGAGTAGAGGGAGAGCCCATTTTCAAGAACTAAAGTAGTCAACAGAATCAGAACTAAAAGTGGCCCAGATCAGAGAAGGACTTTAAAACAAATATGATTAATGTGTTGAAATATATGGTATAAGGCTGGAGAAAATTTATAAACAAGTGGGAAATTTGCACAGAGATAAAAACTACATATAATAAAAACAAATGAAAACGATTTTTTAAAATTATAATATCAAAGCTGAAGGAAAATATACATAGGATTCTGAATAGAATGGACACAGACCCAGATCAAAAGTATACAAAGTAAAACACAAAGAGGAAGAGGAAAGAGCAGAAACAAAAATCAGAACAGATCAAACATATTCAAGATTATCAAACAAACAAAACATGGATTTGGAATCTCAGAAGTAGAAAAGAAAGAATAGGATCCAAAGAATATTAAAGGAAAAGTATCTGAGAATCTTCTAAAAATTCATTAATCTTCTAAAATTCATTAAATTCACTAATGCAAAAGCTTAATGAACTCCAAGCAAGGAAAAAAAAAAACCACACACTTTAGAGCTTCTTAACACTAAAGAGAAAGAAAAAAGTCTTAGAAAATCAGAAAGTGGGGGTCAGGGAAAATAACTAGGTAAAAAGAAATGAAAGATAAGAGTTATACCATATTTTTAATCAGAAACTATTTAAGCTATAACACAATACAGCAACATCTTTAAAGAAGTGAAGGAGAAAAAAACTACCAGCAATCTAGAATTCTATACAAAATACTCTTTTCTATACAGAACCGAGTTAAACACAATAATAAAGTTACATGGGTATGGATAATTCCACATGAAATATATTAAAAAAGATTACTGAAATTATAAGTATATGAATAAATATAAAAGATAATCTTCTTACCTTTAATATCTTTTAAAGATAATTGAGAATAGAAAAAATAGGAAAAAAAATCAATAAAGCTGAAAGTTCTCTGCACACACACACACACACACACAAAAATCAACAAAATTGGCAACCTTTAGACTAGTCAAGAAAATACTCAAATTACTAAAAATCAGAGCTAAAGGAGGACCACTACTACTGATTTAAAGAAATAAAGAGGACTATAAGGAAATATTATGAACAATATCCAATAAATTAGATAAAATAAATAATACCTAAAAACAATCAATCTAACAAAACTGATGAAAAATAATAATCTGAACAGATCTATGACAAGAAAAAAAGATTAAATTAATAATCTTCAAACTTCCAACCAAAAAAAAAAAAAAGTATAGTTCTTAGAAGAACACTTAGAAGAACAATTAAACTACTCTTTTAAAAATTCTTCCAGAAAACAGATAAGGGACTACAACACAAAAATAAGAACAATAGTTCTCCACTACCAAAATAAAACAAAATAATATCACAAGGAATTACATACATATATGGACATAAAGAAATCCTCAACAAAACACCAGCAAGTCAAATTCAGCAATATATAAAAAATAATATATACATGACCAAGTAGGATTTAACCCAACAATGCAAATGAAAATTGGTAATTCACCACATAGGGAGAATAAAGGATAAAACCTACACAATCATTTCAATATACAATGAAAAACATTTGACATACTCCAACACCCCTTCATGATTAAAAAAACAAAAACAAAAAAACACAACTTGGAATAGAAGGAACTTCTTCAACTTGATAAGTAGTATCTTTAAAAACCCACTGTTGGGGTGGGGTTGTGGCTCAGTGGTAGAGTGCTCGCCTAGCATGTACGAGGCACTGAGTTTGATCCTAAGCACCACATAAATGTAAAATAAAGATATTGTGTTCACCTAAAACTTAAGAATAAATATTTTTTAAAAAAACACTGTTAACACCATTAATGGTGAAATACTATTTTCCCAAAAGATCAACAGCTAGACCATAATGTTCCTTTCCTTTCCTTTACTGAAGAGTCTAACCAGGGCAATTAAGCAGGAATACTGATTGGAAGGGAAGAAGTAAAATTACCTCAATTTCAGACAAAATCTTGTCCTTATAAAATCTTAAGGAATATATTAAACTATTAAAACTAATTAATGAATTCAGTAGGATTACAGGATACATAATTAACATACCAAAATGAACTATATTCTTATACAGTAGCAAAGAATAAAAATAAAATTTGGAAAAAAATTCCATTTACAACATCATCAAAAAAAATTAAAATTCTCAGAAATAAATAAATAGACTTATACTTGAAAACTACAAAATATTATTGAAGAAATTAAAAATGACCTAAGTAAATGAAAGGCCTTCCATGTTTATGGCTCAGAAGTAGGGTTTTTTTTTCGATTGCTTGGGATTGAACCCAGAGCCTCATCTCAGGCTAAGCATGTTCTCTACCACTGAGTTATATCCCAAATCCAGAAGACATTTTTTAAGATGGCAATATTTCCCTAAATGATCTATAGATTCAACTTATCCTTATCAAAATCCCAACTAATTTCAATGGAGAAAATGACAAACTGATCTTAAAATTCATGTTGAAAACAATGGAACCATAAGAGCCAAAACAATACTGAAAAAGAAGGGCAAAGTTGGAGAACTCACACTTCCCAATTTCAAAATTCATATATAGCTACATGAATTTTAAAAAATGTGGTGCTGGCGTACAAGAAAACATGTAGATCAATGGAGTAAAATTTAGTGTTCAGAAATAAACCTTCACATATATGATAACTGATTTTTGACAAGGATGCCTAAATAATTCAATGGTAGAAAGAATCACCACCAAAATTAAAGAGTTTTTAATAAATCCTGTTTTAAGAAAATAGTGCTGATGCAACTGAATATCAACATGCAAAAAATGATTCTGAAACCTTATAAAAGACACAAAAATTAACTATGCTAAACAAGTGTTCAACCACTGAGCATATATCCCTGAACAGATATTTCTTAAAGACAACATATAAGTGGCCAATAAGTACATGAAAAGATACTTAACATTATTAATTATAGGAAAATGCAAACCAGAACCATAAAGAAAAATAATTTCATACCCACTAGAATGACTATAATTAAAAAGGCAGATTAATAACAAGCTTGGCAAAGATGTAAAGAAATTGAAATCTTCCATACACTGTGGGTATGTTACTTGACAATAAAAGTAAATGAAATACTAAAATATGTACAACATGGATGAATCTTGAACACATAATGTGAAGTGAAAGAAACTGGTCTAAAAGAATCATATACTGTATGATTCCATTTATATGAAATTTCTAGAATAGGCAGATCCATAGAGACAGAAAGTAGAGTGGTTGTCTAGAATTGGGAGAGGTCAGGGAATGAAGAATCTGAAGAGAAAATCAGAGGTAGACAGCTAGGGATATAAAATTTCCTTCAGGGAAAATAAAATGTTCTAAAGTTGATTGTTATGAGGGTTTTACAACTGTGCTAAATATACTAAAGCCACTGAATTATATACTTTAAACAGGTAAGTTGTATGGCATATAGATTATATCTCTATTAAGTTTCATTTGTTTGTTTATTTATTTTAAAGATAATTGACTGCCTAAAGCAGAGATTCCCAAGTTACGGCCTATAGGCAAAATTCAGGCCTCTATCAGTTTTTATGAGTCTTACTAGAATACAGCTATGGTCATTAGTTCATGTATTATCTAAATCTAATTCTGTGCTACAACAGCAGAGTGGAGTAGTTGCAACAGAGATTGTATTGCCCTTAAATTATTTACTATCTGCTATT